GTACGGTCGAAATAATCTCAGGTAGCGCGGGCCTAAGCCTCCAACCAGCCGGGAGTGCATTGACAAAGGGCAGTCGTGTAATGGCGAGGCTTGTTTTTAAAGCCGCTCGTTGTGCCCTTGCCATTACGGCTGAATACGCTCATTCACGTTGGAGGTTGCAATTTTGTACTTTTCTGTCCGCTGACAAAAAACGAATTAAATCATTGGGCACGAAACGGTTACGCACTTCACATTTTCGCGAATGCTCCGTTGACAAAAATAATAAAAAAAATAATCGAGCGCAACCCTTTCCGACTTTTTTGTTGTCGTCACCACGACCGCATGAATGTGTGTGCGCAGTTCAATCGTGAATTATTGATGTTGCGTTCCTGTCTAGGACACATCAATGACTTTGGGTATATCAAAGTGACGCGTGCACTGACGTCCTGTTAACGTTGTCCAGCGAACACGGAAACGTGGTGACGTGAAGCGGTGAAAATGTGTGATAGAACCCTGGAAACGTCACACCCCCCGGTTTTCTTTGATGCCCTCCCCACCCCTCACCGTCCCTCCGCGTGAGTGCGTGTTGACACTGTTCGTGGGTACATGTCCATGTTGACTATACACTCGTTTGCTCGTGTGTCTGTGTGGCTAGCACATGTACACACGCAGAGGTCAACGCTGGGCCGCTGGATAACATCAGTGGCAAGTGGTGTCTGAATCTGCCTTGGCTCCTTCGCCAGGCTGGTCTTGTGAGTCTTAAGCGAGCACCTGGCGTTGTTTGTACGTGGCAGCACTGGGGAGACAAAGGCGGCCGGGCGTGATGCTCGCCATTCCACCCTCAAGCGCGCTTCATAGATGCTCGCTATCAGCGCTTGCCTTAAGAGTCTGTTAGGGCTATGTCAGGGGATCTTTGGTCATGGCTGGTGGCTAATGACGACGATATCCGTCCACGGCATTCACAATGTATGATCATTATTATTCCCTGCAGAGGATGCGTAATGCCGCCGTGTGGGTCAGAAGCGAATCTAATATGATCACTCCCGCTTGCCCAGCCGCCGCTTTGAGGGGTTGTGGCGTTAGGAATCGCCGCGTCAGCGAAAACGTTCAGGCAACTTCCTTTGCCGGTCATTCCAGGCATCGGGGATGGGCAGTGGAAATAAACGTTCTCGCCATACCCCCACGGGGACACTGACCGTCTCCAATGAGACCGTGGGTACAAGTTTATTATTTTGAGATTTTATTTTTTATTTCATCATGCCGCCGCTCGTTTATCCGGGAAAGTCTCGCCGAGGCACAAGGCTCGTTTTTTTTTTTACGGATCCCGTAAAGATTTTCACAGCATAGCGGTGATGTTGCTGCTGCTGATGCACTACGGTGGCTAGGAGATGTTAACTACCTCGCCTGGTATGCTGGGGTTCGCGGGTTCGATCCCGACCCTGACGCCTGTATATTTGAAATTTGCATGTTCATCCCGTGTATATTTCTCCAGGTCCTCCAGTTTACCCCCCTCCACATTTAGAAATATTACGCGTTTACAGTATTTGGCTGCAATAAATGTCCACGTGATTAGCCACTTCGTTGAGCTATCATTTGTGGGCAGGTCGCTTATGAAAAGAGCTATGCAGCTCAGTGGGCCTTACCTGGTAAAATAAAAAAAAATAGTTTCGTTTAAATAGTTTCAGTTCCGTGTGTCATCCCGCTTTATTAATTTGCAGGACATCTTTCAACATCGGCATGAGGTTTGGCCATGCAGAACAGAGGGATAACATAGAGATTCCACACGGCAAAGGCGCCCGGGTCGGCAATCAAACCCAGGTGCTTTTTGCCGTGAGGCACAGTGGGGGGAGAGGGGGGAGCGTGCGGTGTTGGTGCGGGGGGGGGGCAATCGCTGTGTGTAAGGTGTGTGGGTGGGGGGGGCAGCACTCTTGAGTAAACACGTTGACGTCACAAGCCCTTTCTACGCGAAAGAAAATAAACCGATCCGTTGCAACCCATCGAATTGGCCATTCGTCTAAGAGGGGAGATTTCAAGCCATTTTATTTCTCCAAACGTCGTTAATTTCGGCGCGCCTCGAGGAGTCTTTGGTTCGTTAAAAACGGTTGCAACCGAACCGGGTTTATTTATTTCCTGCAGAAAGCGATTTCGTTTTGGTTGAGATCAATCAGAGTGCAGTGCGCGCGAGCGGAAGGAGTGTGCGGTGCCATGCCGAACACGCGGTCCTCACATCGATCTTTTTCCACTGCCGCAAGTAAGCCGTGCCAGGGCCATGCCAAGCCAGCTTGGAGGCCGTCCATAAATGACGTCACGCACCTGGGGGGGGCGGGGGGATGTCAGACATTTGTTACGATGTGTGACGAGGGGGGGGGGGGGGTTGAGAAATATGACGTTACATCAAAATTCGCAACTTTAAATAAATATAGATAACACGTTCTACTTAAATAGACTTTTTAATAAATGTTTTCTCCTACAACATCAGAGTGCAGCGCCACATTAAATACGCACTACAATGACAATAGTTTAAAGCGATTTGAAGCATGTTTTATATTTTTTTTTTGGGGGGGGGGCAGAGCTTTGTGACGTCATATTTGAGGGGGGGTCTGACTTTTTGTGACGCCGTGTGACGATGGTGGGGGGGGGGGGGGTCAAGAATCGTCCACAATCGCGTGACGTCATTTATGGACGCCCCCTTGGCGCAGCTCAAGAAGCGTTATGGGTTGCTTGTTTTTCCACTGCAAGAAACGTATCTAGTGTGTCTGGGCATCCCCCGTATGGGGCCCCTTTTGAGTGAGGTGGAGGTTCCGATGTTCCATCATATCCGTCGAAAAGTAAGAAAGACCTTGACTCTCCATCACCGTGTATAGCCGTCAAGCGTGCAGGTGGCGTGACTGCACACTGGGGATTGTGGACTTGCCGCCGGAGGGACCCAAGTTCCAGGTTACGAAGAAGGGTAGGGGTTTCCGCGGCTGAGGCACGCCAAAAAAAACACAACGCGGCATATATCGTGCGAAGGAAAATAAGAGTATCTCACAAAACCGGAAGTGGGGGGGGGGAGAGGCAGACGTGGATATGTCGCCTTGAGTGGTATTTTTTGTTTGCGCAATTGACAAAAGCCAGAATCTATTTTTTGTTATCCTGGCAAGACTTACGGATATTTCCAGGACAGCTGTCTCGACAAGCAAGAGGGATGAGTCCTGCATAAATCCCGACGAGCAGGGAAATTGGACAGGTGGGGGAGGGGTCCCAATTTATTTGTTGCACGAAGGTCAATGCCAACCAGGCTGTACCACTGGCCTATAAACCCTCCCTCCCTCCCTCCACCCCTGGATTTTCAGTTAATTTCAACAACAAAATAGCGATGCCCACAAAATAAACAATGTGCGCTTGGACCTCTTGTAAGGTACCGTGGTGTCCTTTGACAACATTACGGCACAATGATCAGCAACGATGTGATGGTTAATTTAAGCGGCGGTTGTTTCGGACAAAGGGCCTCGTTTGAGTGTCGTGCGCGAAGAGACCACCCTCACGTCCTGATCACTCGGCGACTGCCTGCCGCCAGTTTCGCGATTCACGGGAACCTTTTCGCGGGGAAAAAAGCGACTCGTCGACTCGGACCCGCCCGTCAAACTGCGTAACCGAGCCAAACAATTCGTGCCACAACCACCCGTGACGACGTGTAACCTCTCGGTCACAGCGGCTGATGGGCGTTTTGGACACCGACGAATCGTGGACAAAGTTTGCCTGGAATTTGGGACCTTTCTTGCCAGTATTGAAATATAACAATAGGTTTTACCCCTTTCCGGCAATAAAACAGGTGTCAAAATGTTAAAACACCAAACGGAATCCTTACTCAAGGAATCCTGTCTGCATTAACCATACGTACTTGTGGTGAACAGAAAGCTGTCTCTGGTGTGGACCAATCAGTTTTCAAGACGATGCATCATATCTTATCAGAGCATGTTTTTTTGTTGGCATGTTCACCACAAGCACGTGTGCTTAACGCAGACAGGATTCCTCGAGTAAGGATTCTGTTTGGTGTTTTAACACCTTGACACCTGTTGTATTACCAGAAAGGGGTAAAACATTGTTATAGACTCGAATTATTGGTGCCAGGCGGGGGGGGGGGGCCCTGTCGGGCACGGCCTCTCTCCTTCCCGTATTGATGACGTCCCCTCCGTCTACCGCAGTCCGCTTTCCGGTGGTTGAAGGCTGGCGGTGTGTGTAGTAGCAACCCGCACCCACCCCCTACACTCCTCTCTGTCCTGTTGGCCAGTTTCGCCACCCTGTCGTTCATCTGCATCCCCCCCCCATCCGTTCACCAACGTGCGTCATCTGCACATCCCCCCACAACACCCACCCCACCTACTACAGGATCTCTGACCACGTGTTGTTGTTATTATCTCGTTGCGATTGTAGACAGCTGCCAGGTTTGTGGGATCAGGTGAGCAGATTGTGAATGCGATGGCATGCGGTGTTTGCCTTGGCCTGGTTGGTGGGAAAGAAGTTCAACATCCATACGTCGGCCAATCCACTGCTAGATGAAGGCCTCCCCAAGCTGCCCGCCACTGCCGCCACCTCTGTCGCGATCCTTCCGACACGATATCGCTCTGTGCTCAAACATGAAGGTGCGGCCCTGCGATTGCTGGGTGGACAGAGGCGGGGTCAGGGGGTGGGGGAGACAGTGGGTGGTTGGAATTGAATAAATGTGCACACCATTGTTTTGATTCCGGCTCGAAGATGAAATCGAACCTGGCGACCGCTGGGTGGCAATCCCAGTGTGCCGATCGCTGCACCACGGGCAGCAGTAGTATCAGCGGCAGCAGCAGCAGCCCCATCTCGCTCTGTGTTATCGGAGCCGGACGAGTATGCGCGCGGGCCCGAAAAGGCTTGTCTCGAAAAATAAAAACAAACTGTGATAATGTCGTTGCGGGTCATTTGAAGAAACGGACGTTGACGCGATCGCTCACCCCGTGGGCGGGCCTCTTGTCGCTGCCTCTCTCCCTGCCTCTCTCCTCCGACAGGCCTTACGGACGAAAAGGTAAAGACTTACCTGTCGCTCAACCGGCACGTGCTGGATGAGTACGTGGCGGAAAGCGTCAGCGTGGAGACCCTGGAACGGTGGATCCGCAGGAAAAACAAAAAATGTGAAGGTAAGCGATTCTTTTCGGGGGGGGGGGGGTGCAGGGGGGCGTGGGGAGGGGGGCTGTCGCGCTCGCCACTTTACTTGCTCGCGCGGAGTGCTTTGATTGCGAACGCCTGCAGTGCGCAAAGCGCTTAGTCAGCAGCGCCGTCTGTCTGAGTTGAGGTGCTTGGGTCAGTGTTTGGGGGGCGGGGGGGGATCACGTGACGATGGGATTATCGTGCGTGTGTGTGTGAGGTCTTTGTCGTTGGGGTGCACAGTACTGTGGGATGATTTGTTTGCTGTGCCAAGACCTTGATATGGTGGGTTCGAATTCTGGCTGTGCTGTTCAGTGTAAAGTGGTATTTGAGTTTGTGCTTAAGCCCCCTCCCCCCCCCCCACTGTCGATAACTTAAAAAAATAAGCGGGACCAATTGTCCGAACAAAAGTATCAGACGTGTGCAGCAAATATGTACACGCAAATGAAAATCCCTCAATTTATAGAACGATGCTTCGAGCTTGATTCGGCATTCATTCAATGCGTGCCCTGTACGAGTTTGTCTTAAGAGCAGCATGGTGGAGATCAAAGGTGGCCAGTCTGGCCACATCCCCTCTGTAGGTCCTCTCTGTAAATGTCGTTTGCCCCATAAAAGTCTAAACGCCGAACTGGGTGGCATTTATTATTTGCCCTGGCACATTGGCGTGCTCTCATTTTCTCGTCCACTATCTTCGCTTTTTTGGGTCGACGGCTTTGGGGCGGAAGGATGGAAATCCACAGGCCGTTCAGAGGGCGTTAAAGTGCCCTCTGCGCTTTATCGAACGAGTGATTTTAATGGAAAGGAACCAGGCGCGATCGTCAGTGTGGCCAATCAATTCGTTTTTATTTTAAATTGTGAAACCGTCGATATTCAAACTTCACTTTCGTAGGTCGGGGGGGGGGGTGCCTTTTGTCAATGTTACAACAACAGTAAATACCGATAAAATCGAAAGCTTGACATGAATGACGCACATTGCCTTTTAAACGACCGCACGACTCAAAACTTTGACCGTCATTCACAAACTCCCAAAAACTCGCAGCGGTGCCGTGTTTTTTTCCAGCCACCTTACAATTACTCTTTTCAAACGAAGGCTGTCAGCAGAATTCCGATTGACGCAAGAGGCTGCGATTTTAACTCTTCGAGCCGTTCCCAGAGCGAGCCTGAGTCACGCCCTAGTCGCTCACCCCCCTCCCCCTTCCAGCCGAACGTTAGGGACGCTGCCATTCAACTGCTGCCGGCGACAAAACATATCCCGCGTCTCCTTTATCAAACCGGGTGGTGAGGGCCCCAGCAAATTCCCCCGCACCCTACCCACCCACCGCAAATAACAACAGACGGGCAAATTTTCCTATCTCCTCTCGCCAAAAAAACAAAATGCTGCGCAATGCCGGTTGTTTGCTCCGCGCTGTTGTGCGTTGTCATGCCGCGGGAAGGCGGTTCGTGCGGGCGGCTTAACCGTGGTTAAAGCACGGGAGAGGATGAACGGGGTGCATGTGACGGCGGAGGTGAGAGATGAATGATCTTAGACTAATTCACGTTACGCGTGTGAAGTCAGGCGGCCGAGCACGTTTGTCGCCGATGTGGAGGCCCCTCCTTTTGACTCATCACCGTCATCGAGTCGCGCTGAGCCTTTCTGCACCTGTTGGCAACGCGAGTTCCGTACACTTCTCATAATCTTTCGCCGCCTTCTCTGCTGATTTTAATTTGCTATTTTCCACCTGGGGCCCAAGTCTCTGTCTCCTTTTTATTCTCGTCTGGCCCGAGGTCCTTCCTGCCACCTTGCTCGCGTCGGTTTCTCTCTGCATCAGTTTTCCTGGTAACATCTCTGCGTTGTCCAGCCTTCTTCTTCTCGATAATAAGACTGCCTCGCCCTCGTCCCGTCCTCATTCTGACTTTGTTGTGGCCTGCGACTGTTGAGTCGGTAGGGTCTTACAGCAGGCAACGCTGGTGGAATACACGTAAGCGTGGTTTACACGTACGTATGTTGAACTTTCGCACTGTACGTAGCCAACCGTGTTAATTGTAGGTGTGGGGGAAGGACAACAAACTAAACACAAAAAGCGGTTCTGCTAGATTTAAAAGTGCATCGCTCCAGGGGCTCCTAATATTAGAAGAGCGTTCCAGACTGCCGCGGAAGTGCATCTGAAAGCGCGCGACGTGGCGACCGTCTTTGTTCGACGGTTAGCCAAAAGCCGCCGCTGCTGCTGCTGCTGCTGCTGCGAGGGTGACCGGAGTTGGCGTGACGGTGGTTTACGCTCCTCGACGAGATCAGCGCGGTGTCGTGTGGTTCATTTGTGGTGAGCACTTTGTGGTTGTGTGGGCTCCATTCGGGTCGCACTTGTGTGCACGCAAGTGCCCTCTGCAGTTGCAAACCCTTTCTCCGAGGTCGTTTTCTTTCGATGGCTTGGCGGTGACTGAGCCGCCACGTTAGGCAACGGTCTCTCGAGAGCAACGGTGCAGACTATCACGTGGGGGTGCAGCCTATCACGTGGGGGTGCAGCCTATCACGTGGGGGTGCAGCCTATCACGTGGGGGTGCAGCCTATCACGTGGGGGTGCAGCCTATCACGTGGGGGTGCAGCCTATCACGTGGGGGTACTTCACGGAGCCACGCTTATTCATTAAATTGGCCAAATTTTCCAAAGCAGGTCGCTGTTGGAAAAAAAAAAGTGGTTTGCCTTTCCGCGAGTGCTTTCCTGGAAAAAAAAACTGAATGATGTAATGTTTTTTTTATTTAATAATAATTTTCATTATTATTTGTAAATGTGATATCTAATCTTGAGCTTGAACGATTGTTCGATTCGGTTGATTGATTGGCGAAAGTTGTGATCGACTACTTTTTTTGCGGGGCCCCTTTTACAAACGACGTGGCTGATGGTGCCGATGGCATCGCTAAGGCCTCGCTCATCACCTCCCGTCCAGCGGCACAATGTGCGGACAAGAGGAGAGAGGTTTCTGTTTCAATCTTCCCCCAAACAATTTTAATCGCGTTATCCGACCGGTCGAACTTAAGAGCAGTAGAGTAATCGATCACTTGAGTAGTCCAGTTCTCGTATAAACCAAAACCACATGCTTGAGGTGGCTATGAAAAGTCAAATCACACGGCGGTGGGACAGGGCGGGGTGGCGCGGGGGGGCCGGAGAACAGGGACCGCGGTAAAGAGCCATGAATAATAATTAGTCCTACGTCACTTTAACTTGTGAACAAAAAACAAATCTACGGTTGTATTTCTTACACGTATTGACAAATCGTCCCCTCCGTGTTTTATCGAAAGTGGGGGGGCTGTGGGGGGGGGGAGGTTGCGCGGGGGGGGGGGGCATGCACTTCAAGGCCAAGCCGGCTTGGATTTCCTGTCACGGAAAAAAGAGCAAATTGATTTTGACGCCCTGACGGACAACGCTATCGACTGTTCGCCTTCCATTTCCGCCAGTGGCCAGCGACGGCGAGAATACCTGACCCCCGCTCCCCCGCCACCTGCACTTAGAGACTTTATAGGTGCTCGCTGACAGGACTTACCCCAACAGTCTGTTAAGGCTATACGGGAGATCTTTGTATTTGTATGGATAGTGGGTGTGCCGTTTCGAGAGGAGACGAGATGGCATTTTCACCGAGTGTCAGCCAGTTCTGCAATAGGCTTAGGACGGAAATGTTCCCAACAGCTTACAAAGCATTAACATAGCACCTTCATTTGTGGGATGATCTCTGAGCCATACATTTGGTGTGAATAACAAATTGATTCATTATTGTGTATTCATAATGGCCACCATTTTATCTCACTCAAACTCAACAGCAATTCGTCCATAAGTGATTTGGCTTTATATATATATTCTCTCTTTCGCGTAGTCTGTTGCAACTTCTACGGACGATCGTGACACTGCTGTACGGAGCCCCCTTGGGATGGACATGTGCCGCCGGAAGCCATGGGGCTGATCTATTGTGCGGACACGCAGGAGGTTAAGTTAATGGACGGGCTTGCCAAGCTTGTAATGATTTTTGGCGCACGCTCGTTTTGCGATGTTAACGCGCATTGCTGCTCCCTTAACGCACTGAGCGTTTGTGACTTTCATTCACTTGGCCGCTGTTTTTGTTTCGTTCCGCGCAAGTGTCGTGGATTCTCGCTGACTGGACTGGCTTGCTCAGTGTCCGAATAAAACGCGGCAAAATAGTCACACGTATCGCCTTCTGTAATTATTAGTGAGGTAATGCCAATAGCTTAATTTGTTACTGACAGCCCTCTGTCAATCCACTGTGGGATGAGGGAATCAACCACTCTGTGTCGTTCATGCGGGTTGTTTGACCGTACTTCACCACGCTGGTCAGTGCGCGTTGGTGAAGTGGGAGGCTCAGGACCTGTTTAGATATCACTCGTCACCGATGTTAGCCATGGCCAGGAATCAAACTCAGGTCGTTGGGTTCGCAGTACCGCGCAATGACTACTGTGCCACTACACCCCCTACCCGAATAATGCCAACAGGCAACTTACATGTTTTGTTTACTCAGGGGAGTCTCACGAGTCTCAGTACTTTCTTACGTGGTTTTTCTTTAATCATTTGGGAGCAAAAGCAAAAAGTGCCTGGAGAAAACCCACGCTTACTCGGAAAACAGTGCAGCCAGCATTCATTTGTTTCATGGCCTGCGCTAGGCTTTTGTTTTATGTTATTTCCAGCCCCCCCCCCCCCCCCCCCCCCCCCCCCCCCACCCCCCACCGTGCCCTCAATGTTATCCCGATTGTGCTGTCGGTGTCACGCATGAGACAAAGTCTCCATTCCGACCTCGAGAGAGAAGTGCGACCCTTCGCTTCAATTGACCTTTAAATGACCTCTGGTTTACGCAATATTGGGCAGCAATGTCCTACCCGCACCGCCACCGGGAGTAATGTTCGTCACGTGACGAGACGAACTGATATTGTCATCCTCTGAGCTGGAATTCGGGCGGATTATTGAACGTAACATCGTGTCTAAATTTACGCAGCCATTGGTGACTGGGCCGAGCCC